TTTTTAACAAAGAAGTGTGACAAAATATTATGGTTAAATTCAAAGAAGTGATTGGAAGAGATTACGATCGAATGAAATTGAAAAACAAGTGGGATCAGTTAAAGAAGGATTGAAAAATTTGGAAAGAACTAAAAAGGGGATCAACAGGAATGGGTTGGGATCCAGCAAAACGTACAATTGATGCACCAGAGAATTGATGGGCTGAGAAATTACTGGTATATATATATTGAATATTACTTTAAAGATATTGCATTGAATTGATTTCATTAATAAAACTTTTTAATCTATTTCAGGTGGTGCCGTCAGCCAAAAAATTTAAATTTGTTGGCATTGATCCAGTCTTGGAGGAGAAACTGGATGATATGTTTACTAGGGTTATTGCAACAGGAACACATGCGTTCACCCCAAATGATATAGGTATTGGTAGCTCAGCACAGGACACGGAAACCGTGCAGATAGGAGTCGGGAGAAGGTCCCAGCCAAGTCCACACAGATGTTCAGTCCACTAGACCACCGCATATGGTTCGAGTTCTTTTGTTTCTACGATATCCCAGTCGGACAGGTTTGCTCGGGGTTTTGAGGTATCAGAACTGGGCAACACTCGTCGTGATGTGCTTTTACATTTTAAAGTCAATATTGTCATATTTTTCCTTGTAATTTTAACATGTTCTTTTTTTCTTTTTTTTTGTCATATTTTAATTTATATTAGTGTGCGAATGTGTACTTCTCTTTCGTATATGTCCCTATGCTTATTTGATGTAATCGAAACTTTTTTATTTATATAAATGTTATTCAACTCTTTTGCATTTTCATGTTGTGACATTTGAAAAAATAATAAATTCAGCTATACAGATTATTAATTTAACTAAAAAAATTTGCAAATAAGTTGTTTACCAAAACCACAAACCAAACAGATAAACAGCTTATTCAGAATAGGGACATAGTGGTCATTTTTTCAGAATAAGTTGTTTTTCATACGCATAAACCAAAAAGCTAGACTGCTTATCCGGATCAGCTGCTCATCAGCAGATTATCAGAATCAGTTGCTCATCAACAGAAGCTAGATAAGCTGCAGTTGCCCCAAACAGACCCTAAGTGTGATCGGCTACATGAATCATTTTTTCTCTATTATGCCCTATTGATAAAGCTCAGTAATAATCTCTGCTCAAGCTTCTGTTTGGGACATCTGTAACTTATTGAATAATTTGTTGATAAGCTAGATAGGATATTTATTACAAATTTTCATTTTTATGAAAAAGTCAGACCGCAACCAGAAAGCTGTCACCGCACCTAAATAGGTGCGGTGTGAAAACGCTATTTTTGACTTTTTGAAAAACGCATAAGCTGTTAAAACACAGTTTACCCAAACAGGTCAGGTGTGTTTTCAAAGCACCACTGCACCAAATAAACTGCCCCAAACAAACCCCGAGTGTCAAATTTTCATTTAATTCTAATAAATTAAGATCATTTTCATACAACATGCCATCTTTTTGGGTCTAACTCAAACTTTCTTATAAGTCGAATCTAAAACATCTCCTCTCCTAACCAAATCATCAGATGGTAGACATTTAATGTGACCAAACCATCTAAGACGACTATTTCTAATCTTATCTGCCACTGAAGCTACACCAACCCTTTCACGAATATATTCATTTCACATTTTGTCTCTAAGTGTAAAGCCACTCATTTACTTGTGCATTCTCATCTCAGCAAGACTTAATTTTATGCTTCACTTTTATAAGCCAGCATTTTGCGCTCTAAAGCATTGTAAGTCTCACCACCATCTTATAAAATTTTCCTTTAATTCTAAACGGTGCTTCTCTATCACACAATAGATCATCCAACTTGAATTCTACTAATAACATCCCTATCTATATCATCACTTTAAACAATATATGCGAAATATATAAAACGGTCGCTCCTTTCAATGATTTGAATTCTACTAATAACATCCTCATCTATATCGTCACTTTAAACAATATACCTGAAATATCTAAAACGGACACTCCTTTTAATGATTTGATCACCTATTATTACAACTATGCCACTAAATCTACTGCTACTAAAATCGCATTCCATGTATTCAGCTTTAGATCTACTCAAACGAAGACACTTAGACTCTAAAGTATACCTCCATAATTCAAGTTTTTCCTGAAGTATTTCTCTAGACTTATCCACAAGAAGAATATCATCGGCAAAAAACATACACCAAGGTACATCCTCATGTAAATGTCCAGTAAGAGCATTCATAACTAAAGCAAAAAAGATATGGGCTTAAGCTAATGTTGATGTAATCCAACTGAAATAGGAAAATGCTTGGCCCGTCCTCCTGTTCGAACACAAGTAGCAGCTCTAATATACATATCTTTAATGACTTGAGCATAAGCCATATCAACATTTGTCTTTTCTAAAACTCTACAAATAACTTCTCTTGGAACCTTATCGTAAGCTTTTTTTTAAATCAATAAAAACATACGCAGATCATCATTACCCTCCCTATACTTCTCCATCAAAAACTCAATAAGTGTATAGCTTCCATTCTAAGCTTGCCCATCATAAATTCAAACTGATTATGAGAAATCTTTGTACCACGTCTTCACCTATGTTCAATTACTCTCTCCCATAATTTTAATATATGACACATTAATTTAATTTTTTTATAATTTGCACACAATTGTGCATCACATTTATTCTTAAAAATGGGGACAAAAATACACTTTCTCCGCTCCTAGGACATCTTTTAGTTTTTAAAATAATATTAAAAAGTTTAATAAGCCGAGAAATTTTCAAATCTCCAAAATGCTTTCACACTACTATTGGGAAACCATCTAATCCTACTGATTTTTCAACCTTGATTTTCTTTAAAGCCCCCTCAACTTCCTTTTTTACTAATGCGACGACAAAAATAAAAAAATTTCTTATTGTTAACGATATTAAGATAATTAAAGAATAATATTTTCAAAAACTTCATTGAAAATTTTATTAAAATATCTCACCTACTGATGTTGAAAATCTTCATCTAAGAAAAGTACTTTTTAATTTTCTTCTTTATTATACTTTACTTGAATTAAATCTTTATATATATATATATATATTCACCCTCTTTAGTATACAGTCTATTATAAATATCACTAAAAATAAATTTCTTAACATCACAAATAGTCCTCTTGGACTCCCTATTGACCACCTTATATTTTTCCTAATTCTTTAAACTCTTACATTTAAACAAATTATTCTAACAAAACTTCTTATATTTTATCTTTTCTTGCACATTATTATTCCACCAAACTAGTTTTATTTATAAATTTTTTTTCTTTTGATTTTTCAAGTGCATCTTTTAGCTTTTGTTTAATAATGTTTGTTATCTTATCTCACATAGAATTAGTTTCTTCATGAAAATCTCAAATCTTAAAATTTTGAAGTTTGCTCATAAAAATAAGTTTATTTGTCTTTTAAGTATCCTTATCTAATTTTATGACAATGTTCATTAAATTTTTTATCTTCCAATTCTTTATCTTAAAATCCAAAACTAATAATCGATGTTGATAAAAAACTTAGAAGTTATTGCGAATGTCTTTGATTCAAATATAATATCTACCATAACAAATCTCATCACACAAACTTTGGAAGAGCAAAAAAAGTACTCAATTTGTCAAAAACACACCAACAATAAGATTAATCAACCATTCTTTTGTTAGCATCAAAATAATCACATAAAATACTGTCACATTAATTTAACACCAATTAGACAACAGCCATTGATTATCCAAAGAGAACTAAGAATTTATAAAACCAAAAACAGCTTGCATCTATCCCATCTATGTTGATATACATACATACCACCAATATTTGGGATTAATGTGTTTTTTTCCCTTTTATATTATTGGGTCCAACACCTTATTAGTCTTTAGATTCACGATGGTCATAGTTGATTTTCATTAAAAATATGAAATTTCTTTATGGGTTACTAAGTTTTGACAATTTTCACAAAAATCTAACCATTCACCAAGCATATGAGAAGATTAGTGATCAGAGGACATATGAATTCACTTAAAAACCTAGCTTTACTTATATATTCCACCAATCATAACTATCAAATAAATTTTAATTATCATCGATTACCCATGAATTTAATTCAAGGCCATGCGTAAAGCTCTAAGCATTGAAATTCAAACCTATACAATCAAAACAATTCTTCAATAAAATTTTGATCAATATAATTGATATTAAAATGATTTTGAAATAATTTATATTAGGAATGCTTCTAGTTTCAATGTCACTAAATAAAATGGATGATTTTCCTTTTCAATTTGGAAGCCTTAACTTCAAAATAAAAGAATACTTGCAGCAACGTGTGCTGGTTGGAATATATGTATTTTTATGCAATCGTGAGTTGGTGCAAGAATGACTCTATAATTGGAAAGAGAATTTAAATTATGGAAATCATTGCACTAAACAAGAGAGCATACGACCAAAAGAATTGATCCAACATTATGGTGAGGTTCAAGAAAAACACAACCATATACTTCACATTGTTAGATGTCAAAGAACATCTAAATTGTGGCTCTTTAAACTTGTTCAATTTCAAAAACTGATGCCAAATATTCACTTTAAGGGACATTATGTTAAAAACCTTCCTATCGTCGTTTAGTTACCTGATTGCCTAAGTTCCTAGTCAAAATTGCTCCAACTTCCTCATTTAACTTAAATAGCTATAAACAGGAGGAAATTGAAAGAATGAGATAAGATACATAATCATCGCTTTATAATAGAAAACCATAAAAGGAATGATTATCAATTAAATTATTCATTAAAAGAAAACTCTTCAAGAAGTGCTTCTCATCTTTCATTATATTAAAATCCATATTCATTGGATCATACATGTTCTACCACAAATCTCTAGGAATTTTACCCAATGCCAACTAAACATGGAAGGAAAGAAAAAACATGAACTATTTAAATCAAATTAAGAACCACAAAAATGAAGCAAGGAAACATACCTTAAATATGTCCTCATTTTCAACGCTCCAACAACATCTGAACGAATGATTTGTCCATTGCTGTTGACAAGAATATTCACACTCTCTACAACATCCAGGAAGACCTATAAAACAAAAGCAGCAACTTTCTCAAGACAAAAACATGGGGAAGCACAATAATATTACATGCTCAAAAACAGCTAGGAGACAACCTACTTCATTTTTCTTGTACTTTATCCCTTCGCTACGCCAAGACACTGCATTGGTTACAGCCATTGGTGGTCTCTGTGTGACTTCCATCCTGTAAGCATCTGTCTTTATAAACTCACTAAGAATTTTAGCTTCTGTATACTGAGGGTATCCAAAGTCCATCATTTCATCAAGTAATTCATACTGCAGATATCATTCGACAAATTTCCATCACACAAAGTGATACAACTGAAATTTACAAAATAAGATTCATTTTCTCACCACTACAACAAAATTATCTCTCAGCGATTCCTCCTCTAGTTCTTCAAAATAGTGCTTGAAAACCTAAGAAAGACACAGGATGAGATCCATACTCTTTAACCAGAAATCTATCTCTGAAGAGAAGGATAAATCAGAGGCACATGCGTCCAATATACACGGACGAACTCACATCAATAACTCGATGTAGAAAGAGAAGTATGCTCGCAGCATTACAATTCTGCCTCGCGGCAGTCATCAAGAAAACATTATTGTGCTGGATGAACATGTAGGTCACTCCATTATCGTACACCACCGGATCGTGCGAATCCGGATCCACCTGCCAACAATTGAACATCTCAACAAAAATCTATTCACCTAACTTCAATCAAAAGAAATATGCAATGGAACATAAACAATGGGCATCCGCTCGCACGAAGAGCCTAATTGAGTTGGAGCCGAAACAATAAAACCCGATCTGCTGAAACCCATCGGCGCATAGCTCGATAGGATAAAAGGTGGGAAAAAGAGACGGGATGTAACCTCCTTTTCAATAAGCTTGGTAAAGAACCGCTCGGCCTGGACAGCGGAGACGTCTCCGCGGTAGTCACGCCAGACGAGAACGCGGCCTTTGATGTCGAGTAGGAAGAGCGCCGATACGGCACCGGCCATGGCCACACGGCGCGCACGGCCCACGCCGGGTTGGTTAGGGTTCACTGTGGTCGGATCTGTAGGTTGATCACCATTGCCCTTCAGCAGCTCCGGTAGGGGCTAGAGTTTCTACAGCAAATTCCATTTCTTAATTAGAACATTAGCGGTTTTATATGTTATGTTGTATGTCTAAAAATAATGTGCTATGCATCAAAATCAAACTCCTAAATTCTATAACAAGTTATTTTTATCCCATTTCTTATCCATTATGTAGGGATTGGAGCATTCCATGTTGTATGACATGAATACAGTGATATATGTTTAAGTATCGCTAAAGTAATTTCTATGTGTAGTACTAAATAATTAAGAGTTTTCATGTGCTGAAAAAATGCATGAGTTAGCCCATAAAAATAATATTATGTTAAGAACTTGAAATATGAGTCAGACTTGGGAGCTGGCAGAACCTTCACCAAGAAAGAAGACATTGCACAATAAGTGGGTGCACCGGGTGAAAATTGTGTTTGGTTGTTGACCTCACTTTTTAGTGAGGTTTAGTCTTCCTCTTAGGATTTAGGAACTAGCCTTAGGACTTTTCCTTTGACTATCTTAGACCCTTAGAAATGGGACCCACCTCGTTTTAGAAATTCAAACTGCTTCTTTACTCTTTTGAAATTCCGCATGTGGTACTTGACCTCTAGCACGTAGGAGATTGAAACTAACATGAGGGAACTCAAAAGGAGTCCCTATAGGACCTTTAAAGCCTTATAGTTGCCTTTTGCACAATTTGCACCTTCACGCGCACAAACTTCGCGATTCTTTCAGTCGACATGTTCAATTACTATAATTCACATCGTTTGCACTGTTATTCGTCGAAAACTTAAATGAATTTTTGAAATAATCGACCGCGAACCGAAATTTTGACAAAAAATGAATTTGACGCGTTTTTTTTTACTCGATCGTCGACGAGGTTGCTCGAACGACCCCGAATGCCAAAACGGACTGCGTCGGTGTGTTCGGAATGTTGATTTTAGCTAGGAAGGATACCCATTTTGCTAGGGCGCCGCACATGGATAAATCGCATGAAATTTGATATATATATATATATATACATATACATACCCTCTCCCGTTCACACGCGAGGCCAACCCCCGCTCCTCTCTCTCGGTTGCCTTCCTCGAGCCGCACGCTTCTCGCCTCATACGCTATCCTTATCACGATCTTATCACCTGCTCTCCCTGAGCCACACGCGTGGGAGAAGCCTTCCTCTTTGCTTCGCACCCATGCGCAATCCCTATCACGATCTTCTCGCCTGCTTTATGTCGCCGTTTTCCCGCCTCCTTCGACATCACCCGTCCCCCTTGGGTAGGTTTAGGTGTTTTTTTTTTTCCTTCTCCTTGGTGGCTATAAGAAACCCCATTTGGGGAGTTCCAAAGGGGGACTCTCCAAATGGTGTTTCAGAACATTTGAGAGAGGGGAGGTGCTGCCGAAATTCCCATTGCTTGGTGTTTGTTCGCTCGTGGAGCTTCGTAGCTTGTTCCCCTGCTCTTTCTTTTAGGACAGCTGAATCGGTAATATCTTATGCATGCCATGTTCCTATGCAAATTTCATGATATATGAATTTCTATTTTTGTATATTTCGATTGGTCATATAAGGTTTGGATTGTATAAAAATTTATGCACATTCTATATATTTTGAAGGCTGCAATGTTTGAAAAACTTCACCAAATTTTCTGTGGGGAATCTGAAAGTTTGGGTGTTTTATATGCAAAAATATGAAAATTTGGGTATTTGTTCTTCTTAATCTGAAATTTTTTTTAAAAACATATGAAAACATTAGCTAGCTCTTTTGTAAAAATCCAAGAAATCAGGTGTTATATATGTAAATGCATGAGAAATTGAACGACATACATGAAGATGTATGTTGGGGGTTCTTTTTGACCATGAACACTGCACTTTTATTATTACTTTGTGATTTCGCGGGGCTTAATTGTTACTTTGTTTGAGCTATGTTATTATCCATTAAGACCTATATGAACGCCGATTTGCAAGAAGATTTAAGTGTTATTCTTTAAGATGGGTTATTAGCATTGGGTCTTTAAAGACGAATATCACCGCTTGTTTCATTTCTTAATTATGTTGAGTCATATAAATGCAGAAATTAAAAAAAAAATCTAGAATTGACTGTTTTGGCCTAGTTGCTTGATATTTTAGTTTGATATTTGGGAGAGTTTTGTGTAAGGTTTTTTTTGGCCTCGCATGTTTACTGTTTTTGTCGCTCATCTTCGTTGTTTTGCAGGGTCCAATTTAGCATATTTAGGCTTGAATCTGAATGTTGACTGAAACAGAATGTTGACTGGAACATCTAAATGAACCTTTTCAGGGGTTAATTTGAGCTGAATTTACTGCAGTTTTGGGATATTTATGTTATTTTGACCCCCAATTAATGAATTAAGGTAAAAGGAAAATTTTGTAATGTGGCACCACTCACCTACCACTCACCTACCGCCCACCTACCGCCCACCTACCTCACACCTACCTCCCACTTACCACTCTCTTGCTTCTATAAATAGAGAGGGTGTGAGACCTAGAAGAGCAAGGGAAGAGATCTTAAGCTACCGCAAAGGAGGAGAGCATCTTGAGGCATTGTATCAAGGTGTCGCTTGAGAGGGAGGCCATAGAAGGAATATGAGGGCTCATCTCTATGTATAAGATATGTATTCTCCATTTTTTTTGCCTTAGTGAACTATTTGATTAATTCCCTCACGTGGACGTAGATCCACAGTTGGATCGCAGTTGGATCGAACCAAGTAAACGATCTGTGTTTGTTTGTGTTCTTTGCGTTTCATTTTTATGCCAGGAAGTATATATCTCACAACAATTTACTTATATGTCATGCAATGCTTTTGTATCTACATGCTTAGTGCATAAAGTTTCACATTTACATATGTCACACTACCCTTAAATTCTTATAAAGTATTGCAAAAAAAAAAAGGCCATTGATAATTTCAGCCATGCGAATAAGCTTGGGGAGGAAATTTTTTACGCTCTCATCTCTTCATTTGAGTATTTCTTTTTGTGTAAGTCTATTTGTTTCAACTTCATTTGGGATGGAGATAGAGAAAGAATGATAACTATACCTTTTTTGCAAAATATGAAAACTTTTGGGTGGCATATTTGTGAAATCTGAAAGACTTGGGTGACATATTTGTACAAATTTGGAATTTTTGGGTGACACGTTTTGTAAAATCTGAGAGGCGTGGTGACTCACTTTATAAATTTTAAAAACTTGTCTTGCTTATAGAAGAAATATGAAGGGTTACTTTCTTCCTTCTCTATGATGTTTCATTCTCATATATGTTGAAAGTAAAAGAGAGATTTACTCCCGTTTTTGTCTCTTGCTACCCTCCCGCTCGAACTGCATGTGGAATGCCATGTTTATTTCTCCTCCGTGAAAGCAGAAACCCAATGCCCCACTTTGTTTATCCTGACCGTCTATATATATATATATATATGCGTGTGTGTGTGTGTGCGCGCGCGCGCGCGCGCTTGATAGTGGCTCAATTTTGTCTTCCTGTTGCTCTTCTATTTAAAGCATATGCTGAATGAAAAGTTTGGTTGTTAAGCATTTTTAGAGCTTGTTTTGGTAGCTCGCTTTTACTCCACTTTGTTGCCTCTTTCTGTTTAAAGTATGTATGCAGCTTGAATTTGGGTTTAAATCTTTTTGAACCTTGTTTTAAGGGCTCGGCTTTAGTCCCCCTTGGCTGCCTTCTTTGCTCGAATCGCATGTTGGATGGAATTTAAATTTCGATAACACATTTTTGGGGCTCACCTGCGTTTATCTGTTTTTTCTACTACCCGGCCCTGTTCGAAGCACATGTTGGGTGCAAATCTTGTAGTTTTAAAGCTTGGTGTAACCTACTCTATGTTGGTTTGGCTTTGGCCCCTGCTGGGCTTGGTTTTTGGGCTTGTGGTGGCATGATTTTGGTCATTTGTTGGCTGCGTTTTCTGGCCTTATGATGGGATCGTTTTTGGCTTTATGTTGAGCTCAGTTTTAGCTTCTTGTGGCTATTATCTTGGCTCGAACTTTGTTTGAACTCTGTACCATGTGAAAATTTAATATTGTGGACCTTTTGAGGACCTATTTTTAGGCCTTGGTTTAACTTCATGTTGCGGTTTACCTCTGGGAAATGCATATCGTATGAGATATTGATTTGGGGCTTGATTTTGGCTCCTTGTAGTTGGTACCCCTACCCGTGAGTCTGAGATGTGAGCTGCCCTTGTGGGCTTCTTTTTGTTGCCTTAGCCGTGAGCCTCACCTTGTGATTTCTCTATGAGATAAGTTGGGCTGGTGGCTGTCCCTCTCTGTTGCCCCTGACCATGAGCACTCGTGTGGTTTTGTTTGGATGATTTCGTGCTTATATAACATGGAAAGCTTTGGGTTGGAGTTGGAATTATATGTGGAATTAGATGGCTTTATTGTTCGCAATATTTTGGGAATTTTGAAGGTGGTAGTTTTTGGATTACATTCCTCTATTTAATTTGTGAAATTTGAGAGGCTTTTAGAACTTTTTCTTTTTTTAAAAAAAAGCATAAAGTTGATAGGAATTGGATTCATGAACGGATTTGAGGATTCATGAACATTGGATTCATGAACGGATTTGAAAACTCATAAAATTGTCGTTTGGGAAGATTTTGGAGGCTTGACATTAAAATTTGGATAACATAAACGTCACATTTGAGTTTAGGCTTGGGTATGTGATTATGCAGGTGATGGTAGAGCTGCGTATACAATTGTGACATTAATTCGTGCCCGTTTCGACCTGTTTGAAATAAGATTTGGAAGGGATACCCTTCATGGGTTGATCCCATTATAAAAATTTGAGAAAATGATATCCTTCTTGGATTAATTCAAGGATCCTGGGCTCTCTTTTAGATCTTTTTTATACAGTTTTGAGGATTGCTTACCCTTTTGATCTTTTGGGTAAATAAATTCCTCCTCCTCTCTCTCTCTTGCCTTCAGTCCTTTGTTTCTCCTTGCTTCTTGGCCTACGTCACGTGCCTATGTAAGACGTATATGTGCGCGCGTATAACACTCTTGCTATATGTGGGGCCATCAAACAAGACTATAAGTGGAGTGCGTGAGGTTATGGACGGTGATAAAA